GCAGCACTCTCACAGCAAAAAGACAGGTACGCAAATATGCGGGCACACCACGGAAAAAAAAGCCCAGTTTTGTGAGTCCGCATCTTTGTGTTACATTGGCATCAAGGAGTTAAATATCATGTCCGGGGGGGGTCCTCTTAAACTAACTGCAAAGTTGCACATCTGCACAACGTATAGAATCTACTGCAGCAGGACTGCCATTTTTTTTTTTTTTAAACATGACATATTTATAAAAAATAAAAAAATAAAACATTGTGGGGCATGACCCTTTAGGTCTAGTAGGAAGGTTAGGACAGAGCCCACAGTAAAAAAAAAAGTTTCATTTTTTTAATAAGTGCATGAGGTTCCCCCTAAAAGCCATACCAGGCCCTTTAGGTCTGATAGGACTTTTAAAGGGAGCACCATCCCCAAAAAATGGGGGGGGGAAAGAGTGGGGTCCCCCTAAATTTCTACCAGACCCTTGATCCAAACACGGGCCTGGCAGAGCAGGAAAGGGAGGGGGGAGATCTGCTCTCCCTCCCTGTGGCTTACCAGGCCATGTGCACTCACCATTGGGATGGTGTCTCATTGCTGATGGGGACAAGGGCCTCTTCCCCACCACCCTGGAAAACTGGTTGTGAGGGTCTGTAGGCAGGGGGGCTCATTAGTATCAGGATACCTCTTTAAATAAGGGAGTACCCTGATGCTGCCCCCCTTGTGAATGAGTAAGGGGTACTTGTACCCCTACCTATTCACTAAAGTGTTAAATTCAGTAAAAAATAAAGAGAACAGTCTTTTGAAAAATTCCTTTACTTTAACAAATAACAAAACAACAGTTCTTTAATTTAAAAAAAGCCAAAAATGGTCCCACCTTTGTAATCCATCATCAATCACTGTGTCCAGCATTGTCACGATGATGCCGACTGACTTTGGCCAGTCATGGCTCTCATAGTGCATTGTGTGGTGATTGGCCAAAGCATTGCACCTGACCTGTGGTCAGGTGCATTGCTTTGGCCAATCATGGCTCTCATAATGCACTGTGAGAGCACGGTGCATTGTGGGGCTTTCAGTAGGTGAAGATCCTGCCAAACACCCTTGCCGTTTGTCTGTTCGGCGAAAAACATGAACGGCCAATGTTCAAGTCAAACTTACATTCAACTCGAACATCTAGCCCAACACTACTCAACAGTAAATGAGAGGATATCTTTCCAATGTGAGGAAAATCTCCTCTTGAACATATGTTATAGGAACAAATGTCACTATTTGAATCTTTCACAGCAATACTTGGGACCAGTAGGAGAAAAAAAATATATAAATCATGTATCCTACACTGCATATTTTGCCCTTAGATACAATTCTAATTTAGCTCCTGAGTATAAAACACAAACATAACTTCAATTCTAACATAATACAATTGGTGCCTTTGGAAAATGTATGTGGACACACACATGTGGGCCCATGTGAATGGGCTTTTGTGCACATCAGACGTTTTTTTTGCATTTTTGTACACGTTTATGGGAATGTAAAACCTGCTTGAAGCAGGTCGAATTCAGGAAAGAAGGTCAAATGCACCAATAAATTCTGAATAATCTTGGAAGCATGTCAAACTGATGCCATTGCGATACCCTAGTGAACTCCGTGCAAATGTGATCAAAAAAAACATCAAAGGAATTTAAAAAATTATATAAACTGCTTTGTGTGTACATTATGTTTACAATAAATCTTGATTAATTTTACGCTATGTATGGTCTTTTCTTTGATGAGATACATATACCATGGAGGCAAAGAGGAATAAACTGGGGTTTTGGGGGTGATACCCTTGCTATCATCTGTTTAATATAATGAAAGAGCACTTGTGACCTCCATAAAAAAGGCCTCTGGATTTGGTAAGAGGCATATTTTTAGTGGTGGAGGCAGTGAAGGAGTGTCCCTAATGGTGAGGTACTGGGTATTGGAGAACTTAAATTAATTATTACACATTATCTAATTTTAACAGATTTTTATATAACATTTCACAATTAGCGTGGTGGACTTAAGCTTATACTGATATTCTGTTAGGATTTTGCATCTACTTTGTTTGCATTGCATTCACTATTGTATGTGTATTATAGTCACTATTTTTAAAGAGATAGCACTACACATTTATCTATGTAAACTGATACCATTGCCACAAACCCAAAGCCCCTCAACACAGGCAACTAAAGGCTGTAAGTTCCAACATCAATAATTGGGTCAGCTACTCATTAATTAGTTAAACCAGAAGATAAGAATAGCAGCTGTGCAACAAGCATCTTCCAAAGCACATTGACTATATGTATCTAGTATAATGTCTCTTGTATGATTTATCTCATGACAGATTGCATTTACATGATTTACTTCAAAACAATACTGTATGTTACCAGACCAACCCTCTCCATATTGCGTGGTACCCTGGAATACAGCTCCTTGTGATGCTGGGACACACCTAAAGCTCATTGCTAAACATGTTGCATAAAATATTTTAGTTTAAGTGATAGGAAAATAAGGTAAGTGGAAAAAAGGAAAGGTAATAGAAATTCAATAGGGAAGATTCAACAGATTTTTGGATTGTCCCTGGAAAGTAAAACCAGTTCTACTTGTCAAATACCTTTTGCTTCTTGACTATATTTCCTTCTTTTGTCTTTTATGATTAAAATATGTTATCTCATAAGGCTCTCAGATTACAATTTACATCATACTTGTAAGCAATTTTCACTCCACAGTTGTATCTAGGGTCCATTGAGAAATAATTTCTCACTATAAGACTGCATAACCAAAGCTTTTCTGTTAGTGGTAAGATTACACGAGGTCTGCTCAGTGTGAATGAATTAACTCCTGACAGTATTTTATGCATTAATTTTTTTTAAAATGCCAGCAATCTAATTGCATACAGTAATTCCGGAAACTCAGTGGCCCATACAATAGTGCACCTGGAGCAAGTATTTTTTTTAAACATCCCCCTCTTTAAAAAAAAAAAAAAAAAAACTGGAAATTTCAGTGCCCCATTACATTGGTTATCATTATAGCAGTGCCCTTTTTTATGAGATAGTCAGCTGAAATGTGTTATATTTGGTGGTCAGTGGAGACATTGTCCCTCACATTGGATAGCTAGAAAAAAAATGTTGATATTGGTTACACAACTGGGAGACAATCAGCCTTCAAAAGGAGATCAATTGACCTAAACAGCCTACTCTTAGGACACGCTGCTTCAAACGTTCTGCCCTTGGTATGCCACTGAGTTTATATTCAAACATTTAAGGACTTTGGGCATATAAGAAATGTCCTAAAAAAAACCTTAATCTAAATTCCCTGGACCTCTGCCCCAACCGTTGCTGTTCTGCCACTTTAACCAGCAAACCCTGGCTGTCATTTTGTACTCAGGATCTCAGACAGTCCTCCTGTGTAAATAGTGTGCATGTTTGTAGGCACCACTGATAAATATGTTGTAACATTTTAATGTATTACTTTGGTATCAAAAGTAATGACAAAGTTATTGACCAATCAATAGGCCCATAGCAGAAACATAAAAAACTGCTCTGGTCCAAAATGAATTATGCAAGTTTGAAAACTGAAGTGGTAATGGGCTGAAGAGCAAAGAAAGTAACCCACTGCAGTCTACCAGTAAAAGGTTTTCTTTGCCTTGGTTACTATTGTAGTGCCCAGGATAATACCACCAAAGGACAGGGAGAAAGCTAGCATTTAGCCCAGGGCTGAGTCCATGGCTATAAAGGGTAGATTAGAACAGAAATTGGGCACCAATCACTTTTTGTCTCTTCAAAGTTTCATGTTGAACTTGGAAAGGAGGTGGAAGGAGAGGGTCAGGGGTTTCTGATGCTATGTAGATCACTTACGGATTGCAGAACAAATTCCAGCTTCATAGTGTCAGAATCTTTAAGCCAACACTGCAAGTGCATTTTCAGAGTCTAGCACATCTTCCAAATGAGTCACCAGGCCCTTCTGAGAGACCAGCCTTCATCCTGGCTCTCTCCAGAAAGGGGCTTCCCCTGGATCTTCTCACCTTGGCTCGGCTTCCTCCACCTCAGGCAGGACAGCCTTAGGACCAATTCAAAGTAGGTAGGCCCAGACAGGCTTCTGGGCCTAACATGGAGCTCTCATTAGCAGCACCTCCTCAAGTCTCAGCCTGAGGCAAGAGAGAGAGCAAAGGGCCCACCTCATAGTTACATCTTCTCCCAGCATGCACCAGTGGCATAGAACCTCCTACTGGGCTGACTGAAATAAACATGAATAATCATAACTCAGTCCATTTGTGCAATCTCAAACTATGACCTGTGGTATCAGTGACACCTACTAGCGACAGTGAGAAATGTGCAACCCAACTGAGATTAGGGGAAAGCCAAATAAAGATTGTACATGATTGTACAGTTGTACACCATTGTGTACAACTGTACAATCATGTCACCCCAAAAGTTTTCTATTGGATTAAGATCTGGGGATTGTGCTGGCCACTCCATAAAGAAATAAATAAACTGTACAATCAGTCTGAACTAACTACAGCCCAGCCGAAAACTAAATTTGCATAGTAGCCCCAATTTAGGACCAGGGGGCTACACTATAAACTAAAGAGAGTTCACATTTGACTGGGTAATGTGGATTCTGACTGCCATAGCTTGTCACTAGAGATGAGCGAATTTTTCAAAAATTCGATTCGGCTGATTCGGCGAATATCAGGAAGAAATTCGATTCGATGCGAATTAATTCGCTACGAAGTTAACTTATAAAAAGGGTTTCTAGGCTTCAGAGAGCCTTTAAATTAGTGCAGAACACTGTACCTTTAATTTAAATGCCCTTGGAGATGAGGAAGGAAAAGGAGAAGGAGAAGGAGAAGGATGAGAAGAAGGAGAAGGAGAAGGATGAGAAGAAGGAGAAGGATGAGAAGAAGGAGAAGGAGAAGGAGGAGAAGGAGAAGGATGAGAAGAAGGAGAAGGAGAAGGATGAGAAGAAGGAGAAGGATGAGAAGAAGGAGAAGGAGAAGGATGAGAAGAAGGAGAAGGATGAGAAGAAGGAGAAGGATGAGAAGAAGGATGAGAAGAAGGAGAAGGAGGAGAAGGAGAAGGATGAGAAGAAGGAGAATGATGAGAAGAAGGATGAGAAGAAGGAGAAGGATGAGAAGAAGGAGAAGGAGAAGGATGAGAAGAAGGAGAAGGATGAGAAGAAGGAGAAGGATGAGAAGAAGGAGAAGGATGAGAAGAAGGACAGTTCTGTGACAGTTTCTGTCTATTTCTGACAGTTCTGTGACATTCACTCCATACAGCGGTTTCAACCGCTGTATTGAGGGAATGTCCCAGAACTGTCAGAAATAGTCTATTTCTGACAGTTGTGGGACATTCACTCCATACAGCGGTTTCAACCGCTGTATGGAGGGAATGTCCCAGAACTGTCAGAAATAGTCTATTTCTGACAGTTGTGGGACATTCACTCCATACAGCGGTTTCAACCGCTGTATGGAGGGAATGTCCCAGAACTGTCAGATATAGTCTATTTCTGACAGTTCTGGGACATTCACTCCATACAGCGGTTGAAACATTGTATCTATTTGTTTCCATAAATGGATCCATGGAAACAAATAGATACAATGTTTCAACCGCTGTATGGAGGGAATGTCCCAGAACTGTCATAAATAGTCTATTTCTGACAGTTGTGGGACATTCACTCCATACAGCGGTTTCAACCGCTGTATGGAGGGAATGTCCCAGAACTGTCAGAAATAGTCTATTTCTGACAGTTGTGGGACATTCACTCCATACAACGGTTTCAACCGCTGTATGGAGGGAATGTCCCAGAACTGTCATAAATAGTCTATTTCTGACAGTTCTGGGACATTCACTCCATACAGCGGTTGAAACATTGTATCTATTTGTTTCCATAAATGGATCCATTTATGGAAACAAATAGATACAATGTTTCAACCGCTGTATGGAGTGAATGTCCCAGAACTGTCAGAAATAGACTATTTCTGACAGTTCTGGGACATTCCCTCCATACAGCGGTTGAAACATTGTATCTATTTGTTTCCATAAATGGATCCATTTATGGAATACAATGTTTCAACCCCTGTATGTAGTGAATGTCCCAGAACTGTCAGAAATAGACTATTTCTGACAGTTCTGGGACATTTCCTCCATACAGCGGTTGAAACATTGTATCTATTTGTTTCCATAAATGGATCCATTTATGGAAACAAATAGATACAATGTTTCAACCCCTGTATGTAGTGAATGTCCCAGAACTGTCAGAAATAGACTATTTATGACAGTTCTGGGACATTCCCTCCATACAGCGGTTGAAACATTGTATCTATTTGTTTCCATAAATGACATTCTGCAGATACACTTAGAGGAGCTCTGCAGATACACTTTTTGCCGGCTTGGAATTATTCTTATTTTCATCCTACTTCTTCTTCTTCTTCTTCTTCATCCTCATCCTCATCCTCTTCTTCTTCTTCTGAGGATGAGGATGAAGAAGAAGAAGAAGAAGAAAGTAGGATGAAAATAAGATTAATTCCAAGCCGGCAAAAAGTGTATGTGCAGACCTCTAAGTGTATCTGCAGAGCTCCTCTAAGTGTATCTGCAGAATAGAGGAACTCTGCACATACACACTTTTTGCCGGCTTGGAATTATTCTTTTTTCATCCCTACTTCTTCTTCTTCTTCTTCATCCTCATCCTCTTCTTCTCTGAGGATGAGGATGAGGATGAAGAAGAAGTAGGATGAAAATAAGATTAATTCCAAGCCGGCAAAAAGTGTATGTGCAGAGCTCCTCTAAGTGTATCTGCAGAATAGCGGAACTCTGCACATACACTTTTTGCCGGCTTGGAATTATTCTTATTTTTTCATCCTACTTTCTTCTTCTTCTTCTTCTTCATCCTCATCCTCATCCTCTTCTTCTTCTTCTGAGGATGAGGATGAGGATGAAGAAGAAGAAGAAGTAGGATGAAAATAAGATTAATTCCAAGCCGGCAAAAAGTGTATGTGCAGAGCTCCTCTAAGTGTATCTGCAGAGCTCCTCTAAGTGTATCTGCAGAATAGAACTCTGCACATACACTTTTTGCCGGCTTGGAATTATTCTTATTTTCATCCTACTTCTTCTTCATCCTCATCCTCATCCTCTTCTTCTTCTGAGGATGAGGATGAGGATGAAGAAGAAGAAGAAGTAGGATGAAAATAAGATTAATTCCAAGCCGGCAAAAAGTGTATCTGCAGAGCTCCTCTAAGTGTATCTGCAAAATAGAGGAACTCTGCACATACACTTTTTGCCGGCTTGGAATTATTCTTATTTTCATCCTACTTCTTCTTCTTCATCCTCATCCTCTATTGGATTAAGATCTGGGGATTGTGCTGGCCACTCCATAAAGAAATAAAGAAACTGCACAATCAGTCTGAACTAACTACAGCCCAGCCGAAAACTAAATTTGCATAGTAGCCCCAATTTAGGACCTGGGGGCTACACTATAAACTAAAGAGAGTTCACATTTGACTGGGTAATGTGGATTCTGACTGCCATTGCTTGTCACAATTCTACAATTAAGAAGACTGTTAAATGTCGGATATATTACGTTTTCCTTGTTTGGCTGGAATTAAAATTAAAATACACATATAAATCTTCACATAAAATAGCTACTGACACCATTGTGAAAAATGAAATGTGAAAAAACAAGATGCTTGTCTCCATGCACCATAAGTAATCAGTGCGCTAAGGCCACATAGCTGTGATATTTGCTTCCAAATGACCTCATATTGTTCAGCATTTCATTAACCTTCAACAGGCAGTGCTGTCTAATGAAAACTATTTTGACAGTATATTTTTTTCAAATGCCAAAATGCCACTGCTGAACACAATTTTTTTTTAAGCGTATGTTTATAGCTGGCCAGTAGGCATTTGGTGATAGTGATTGCTCCTGTAAATGATAAAGCTTTCTTTCTGTGCTTATACAGAAATTCATTGAAAATCTGAAATAAGTGGAAAGATGCAGCAATTTAATGGGGCCCCCGGGTGGTCTGCTTTTCCCTAGACAGTTTAGTTTTGTGAGCCTGGAAATCTTCAAACGGAATGTTTATCTTCTCTGAATTTAGATTTTGAATTACCATGCTGAAAAATGATTGGAAAGGTAACAGAGTAATATAAGGAAAAAACAAATATATAGATAGACAGATTATATATATATATATATATATATATATATATATACTGTATATATACAGTTGTGTTCAAAATAATAGCAGTGTGTTGAAAAAAGTGAATAAAGCTCAAAATCCTTATATTAGCTTTTATTTCCATACACACAAATGCATTGGGAACACTACACATTCTATTCCAAATCAAAACATGAAGAAAAATATATCAAATTTGTGTTGGTTGTTCCTCTAAAAATTTGAAAAGTGAATATTAGACTGTTCAAAAAATAGCAGTGTTTGTATTCTTCTTTACAAACTCAAACATTCACTATATAAACTGAAAATGTTTGAAGAATTTGCTTTCCTCTAAATCACTTAATTAATATTTAGTTGTATAAGCACTGTTTCTGAGAACTGCTGTACATCTGTGTTGCATGGAGTCAACCAACTTCTGGCACCTGTGAACAAGTATTCCAGCCCAGGATGATTGGACTACATTCCACAGTTCTTCTCTATTTCTTGGTTTTGCCTCACAAAACTGCATTTTTCATGTCACCCCACAAGTTTTCTATTGGATTAAGATCCGGGGATTGTGCTGGCCACTCCATAACGTCAATCTTGTTGGTCTGGAACCAAGATGTTGCACTTTACTGGTGTGTTTGGGGTCGTTGTCTTGTTGGAACACCCATTTCAAGGGCATTTCCTCTTCAGCATAAAGCAGCATGACCTCTTAAAGTATTCTGATGTATTCAAACTGATCCATGATCCCTGGTATGCGATAAATAGGCCCAACACCGTAGTATGAGAGACCTCCCCATATCATGATGCTTGCGCAACCATGCTTCACTGTCTTCACAGTGTACTGTGGCTTGAATTCAGTGTTTGGGGTCGTCTGACAAACTGTCTCCGGCCACTAGACCCAAAAAGAACAATCTTACTTTCATCAGTCCACAAAATGTTACGCCATTTCTCTTTAGGCCAGTCAATGTGCTCTTTGGCAAATTGTAACCTCTTCAGCACATGTCTTTTTTTCAACAGTGGGACTTTTTGGGGGCTTCTTGCAGATAGCTTGGCTTCACATAGGCGTCTTCTAATTGTAACAGTATTCACAGGTAACTTTACACCTTCTTTGATCTTCCTGGAGTTGATTGTTGGCTGAGTCCTTGCTGTTTTGGCTATTCTTCTATCCATTCGAATGGTAGTTTTTCGCTTTGTTCCACGTCTTTCAGGTTTTGGTTGCCATTTTAAAGCATTTGCGATCATTTTAGCTGAGCAGCCTATCATTTTCCGCACTTCTTTATATGTTTTCCCCTCTCCAATCAACTTTTTAATCAAGGCACGCTGTTCTTCTGAACAATGTCTGGAACGACCCATTTTCCTCAGAATTTCAGAGAGAAATGTACTATACCAGCATGTACAGCATTTGCTGCCTTCTTTCCTTAAATAAGGGCAATAATTGCCACCTGTTTTTCAAAGAATGAATGACCTCACTAATAGAACTCCACACTGCTATTATTTACATGCCCCTTTCAATTAGTGATTCAATTACACAGAATCAGCAGCATGCATGTCATGACTGTTGGGTTTGTTGGATTTCTATTACTCTACTACACCTGCTAGTAAATTATTTGTCATGTAGAAATATAATTTCTACCAAAAACAGTGATTGATCAGGTTAGTGATGTCTGACTGCTATTATTTTGAACACAACTGTATATGTATATATACACACACACACAGTATATATATTATTCTGTATACACACAGTATATTTTATATATATATATATATATATATATATATATAGAGGGTTTTTTTCTGTGGGAAGGGAATGTGGGGGAATGCTGTTCCACCACCTCCAGCATTGAATGTATGTAGTGGCAAGGGGTGCCAGGGTGTGTTGGAAGATCTATTGATCCTGGGGGATCTATTGTTACTAGAGGAGATCTATTTTGCATAGTGGTATATTGCTCCTGGTAAGGTCTGTTATTGCTGGTGGGGGATCTATTGTTGATGAAAAAAATTACAGTATATATACCACCATTTGTAGACGCTATAACTTTCCGTAAACCAATTAATTTACACATATTAGGATTTTTTTAGCAAAGACATGTAGCAGAACAGAACTTGGCCTAAAAATTTATGAAGAAATTAGATTTTTTAAATATTTTACTGAATATGTTTTATAGCACCAAGTTAAAGTAACAGAGCTCTGGATCACAAAAAATGACCTGGTCAGGAAGGGGGGTAAATCCTCTGGAGGGCAAGTGGTTAATTTAACATCTACTGTAAGCAAGTATATCAGACTGCACAAACCTGGATACATGGTTATTATATAGCCACGACTATCACCTCATACATAGAGGCTGTTAGCTGATCTCAAGGATGCAATAGGAGTTTCTAGGATGGCAAAAAAAGTCTTATATACCTCTGTAG